TTGATTCTCAGGTATCAAACCCTTTAGTATTAACCGTCTCTTTCATTGTTTAGCGCACTACTTTGCGTTAGAGAAACTTCTGACTGTATAGCACAGGCTGTACCGTTTGAGGTATTTTGTATTTTTGATGTAATTTGCTCTGTTTTCTTAATTAGAACCGTTTATATTCAGCACATAGTTTGTGTTTTGATATAATATAATACGAGTATCTCAAAGACGCGTTGTGAGCTATACAGAGGAACTTGGTCTGGTCTAATCGAATAAATTTTGGGTTCGTCAGTCCGTTGTTCCAACCGAATATTGGTGGTTCGGCCGTTACAAGTAGGATTGAACTTAAGTTCGTGTTTTTTTCTTAAAATGTCTAAATTCTTTTCACGACTAACATGACACAAAAAGATTTATTCATTATCATTAAATTTCAAATGTAAAAAATGAAAATTCTGACATCCAATCACAGCACTTGATGCGATTTTGATTTCAACTAATCAGATTACAAAGATGAACAGTTTACGACCAATTACAAAATTATTAAAGGTGACAAAATGTTTGTTCATTATCACTTGAGCACGCACTTGCAAAACAAGTACAACAATCACCGATCGCTAAATTTTTCTTTCACACCCTACAATTTTTTAGAAATGGGTGGTAGGGAATCTTAATTGCCATGGGCTTAATGTCAACCCGGAAGTGGGCATTCACCGTGCACCTAAGAACTAACTGGTTTTTGTGGATACGTGAATAAATGTTCATATGCATCTATCCGTTATTTCACTGAACATAATATTGAAAGCTTCAAGTAGGGGAATGTTGATGAATAGGAAGGATACATCTTTCGATGTCATTTTTGATGAAGTTACTATTTGATCCGTTCGGGCACAAGGGTTTTCAAATTAGATTTTGATGTCAGCTTTATTAACCGTTTCCTAAAGTGGTAAACTTAAGGCCTAGTGACAATGCTACTAACTCAGTCTTATTGAGATTAACTATGGTGAATTTGCATACACACTGAACTAGGTTAGATGGAAAATTTATTTCTAGAATCTGTTAGTTTAGATTTTTCTTCTCTTGTATCAACCGCCAGCTTAATATAGTCCGAAAATATAACAGAAAGATCTTTCACAGCATAAATTCTCTTATCGACATTTTTTGGCATCGTAGTAATAAATGAATCTAGAGATACGATTTGATTTGATGCATAACTTTTGTGAGTCTTCCTATTTGGCCGAACTCTGGAGCAACGTGAAAATTTCCGGGATACTTTGGAATGCAAGTTGGTCTCCATGATCCCCTTCATTAAATCAGCACGACTTCCCTTCTTGAGCCTTGTTACGTACTTCAGGTGCTCGTTGAGAACCTTTGATGTACACGTTTGCTCAAAACATTTCAATATGAGGAAATGTTTTAGAGATGTTGAGACAGGTCACTTAGTAAACAGAAATGGATGTATATCATTGCAACCCATATTACAGGCTGAATCCAAGTTTAATTAACCTTCTTGACATTAATCCTGGCTTCATCTGTATGGTGCTCCTCGCTATTGTCGTTGTTTGACCTCTCGTTTTTATCAGTTAACTTGGCATCTGACTCATTTGCTTGTTGAATCACACGCCTTGAAGTTGGTGACAATCCTGACTTAAGTTTGGGTGATAACATGAGTTTCCTGATTTGTTCTTTTTTGGAACATAAACCGATGTGCTCCAGATTTTACCTTAGTTTTTTTATCAAATTTAAAAAAGCCTCCTGTTGTCTCTTACTTTCATTCTGGACCCGTTTTTCGATCTCATGTATGGTTGACGATCTGAGCTATTTGATGAAGTCTACCATATGCACCAGGCATCCCTCTTTGTCTTCTTTGTTCTGTTCAATGTATCCTGCTGCATGGATTATGTGGCAGCTGTGTGATAGTTTCTCAAAAGACCTACTGGCTAGTGTACTTCATTTTATCCCAGTGTTTGTTTATTAGTACGTGGTGGTATTGGTCTCAACCATACAATCCTCAAAGTTGAACCTACGACAACTGAGAAAATAGGCTTTTAACATGTACCACGGAGAAAAGGCCAACAAAAGTGAACGAGGGAACATTCATTCGAGAACTAATCGGATGGCATGGCTCAGCCTCGCAGGCGTGGTCGTTCTTGTTCTATTCATATTAAATAAATTGTTCTATCTCCAGTCTAAATGTTTCATTAAGAAAAGCCAATTATATTGCCGATGTTTGCGATACGACGAGTCAGTGTAGACAATGATGGGACCTCCACGTAAGATCTCATAGATTAGGTAGTTACGTCATGACACATATAGAATTTTAGGATTGAGTCTATCATTAGAGCAGTACTAATAACGAAGTAGACCATAATTCTGCATCGGTAAGTCTGACTATTGAAATGTACATGTATCGCGGGAGATTGTATGTATATATGTTGGATGGTGATTGTCTTTTTAATTGAGGTCCTTTCATTTAGCGCTTGAGTCATGTGTGTACTATTATGCGTGATTCAGGGTTCTCAACGAACTTTTTGTTAAATTTAAGGATTTACGGCCTACTACCAGCCTCTGAGTTAAAGCATCGGTTAATCTTAGGAGCTGATATAATCGGTAGTACTGTGCTTGAGATTCAATGAGTGAAAAGGTGTTCAAAACAACTGGGCTCACCGGACAGTGGCTTAGCCTTGGTTTGACAATTGTCGCGAATTTTGATTTTGCGGTTTATTTTTGTGGAGGGATAAATATGTATATGTTTTTGAGCTGGTGTTTGCCACAAATTTATTATCAAATACTAGTGATCTAGAGATCACTATTGTGAATATTAAACAGTCTGAGAAGTTGCGTCACATTCAAGTGGTGCACTGCAAAAATAACTAAGTTTTCTTCTGCTTTCGTCATCGACTATGTATGTTCGATATCCAATGATAGGATAAACGCTTGTCACCGGGTAAGCTTATAGGGGTGCATGTTTCACGGTTCTGAGACTTTCATTTTTTGTCCAGAAAGAAACTTTTGCATATAAAAATTTTGGAAGCACAAAGGAGACTGTTCTCATACGTCGGCGTACTGTAGTTTTGGCCAGTCGTTACATGTGGTATATTCAGTTTGGCCTCATAAACGGTCATTGAAAAGGACAAAGAACTTCTGCAGCACTTATCACTCTCTTGAATGACAGGGAAAATATGAGCCAAACCTGAAGTCAGAGAGTCTGATAAGGTTAGAGAGATTAATAAGGTCAGCGAGACGTAGATTTTGACCGTATTCGATGTAAATGATAGTCTCAATCACTTAGTTAGTTTTTACTCTCATACAACGAAGACTTAACATCCGCTGACTCCCTATATTGACCTTCAACCTGAAGATTGAGGGGCATTTTTATCTAAGTACACTCAGAGTACATATACAATTCTAATAGAATGATGATTTTTTTCTGAAAACAAATTCTTAGAATGGGATAAAACAGATTACAATCGAACTGCAGTGTGCATAGGAGTCTCTCACTTACTTAACCATTCCCGTTTTCCCATTCTTGACTCCGACAGTTGGTAATAAACAGCTCAATATACCATGACCGATTTTATAAGGTTGAAATATTCCGGGCAGGATAGGTTGGTTCATCCGGGGTCCGGTGTTATTTCAATGATATCACTGGTATGCTAGAAAATTAGGCGTTTTTGTTAATCAAACCCAACTTGTCTCTCTTTGAAAAGCCGTGAGTAAGGTAATAAGTTGTTAAACCAAGATTTTTAGGCAACAGAAAAGAAATTTAACCAAAGGATTGTGATATGGTCAACCATATATTTCTTATCAATAAGTTCAAACAACTGGGTGTTAAATCACCTCTAATTGATTGGCTCATATCTTAAAAATTAACACTTTAAGGTCGAGATGAACTTCACTTTATCTAAAGCTATGGAATGTCCTAGTGTGTTCCCCCAGGGTTCAGTACTAGGACCTTTTCTTTCCTTGATTTATATTAACGATCTTCCACAACATGTATCGTGTGACATCAATTTTGCTGATGATGTGAAACTTTGGAGAGAGATACGCAACCAAGACGATATATAGGTTCTTCAGAAGGATCTGTCTCGACTTCAAAGTTGGGCAGACGATAACGGACTTAACTTTAACACTTCAACGTGTAAAGTAGTCCATCTGCGACATGTCGCAGACTACAATTATAATTTGGGAAACTCCTCTCTTGAAGTATCCCAAGTTGAAAAGGATTAAGGAATACTGGCACCCTACGATTTGAAGTGTTGCGCTAACTGAGAAAAATGCCTTCTGGCCAAATCTTGTACTGGTAACAGTAAAGCGCATTTTCGGGGAGTTTAGAGGAAGAACTTTCCATATAATCTTCAACAGTTTCTTTCGTCCCCATTTAGAATATAGAAACATAGTATTGGACATCCCCTTAAACACCTACTTAAGTTTAGCTCTAACACAAACCTAAGGGTTAACACCCAGAGACTAGAGACACAACACAGACTCTTTAAGAGTTGTCAAATGCTGGAATTCCCTGCCGACTGAGCCAGTCCAAGCGAATTCTTAGAAGTCTTTTAAGAAGAAAATTGACCTGATCTTAAGGACCAAGGATAAAATCTTACTATGATTTATCGATTATTTTTCTCTGTTATCGTTAATATACGTAGGTTATTGCCTGGAGGTATTGGTGATCCACTGCTAATAGACACGGACGCCCGTTAAGCGAAAGCTTCTTGTACTCCGTCCACAACCATTTGAACTATTCATTTCAAGTAGATATCATCACCATGGTTTGATGTGATAATTTTGAATAAATTGAACATTGGGTAGATTGTTATAAAAAATAGCATATTTGTAATATCCCAATGAGTAGAAAGATTAGATTTTCTGAAGTTAGTGAAAATCACTTCTTCAGAGAAGTGGTTTACACTAAGACACGAAACGTCAGAAAATCTAATTTTTCTACTCATTGGGATATTACAAATATATTATTTGTCATTCAGTTCAAGGTTATTTCGTTGCACCTTGACGTTGGTTTAAATTTTGTTTTCTGAGTGGCTGAAGGTCCTTAGCTTTGTAGTTAGGTGCAGTGGTTTTAGGCTAAACAGTCACTCTACGTATAAAATTTAGGAAAGTATATAGCACTCTTAGCCCTTGTGGTAATTAGACAGACTGAATAAGTCCAGTGACTGTTGATAACAAATGTTTTACATAATCATGTCGAAACTACTTAAAAGTCAATATTAAATCTTAAGTTTCAAACACTGCCGCTATTATTTTCGCTCTTGTTTCCATCTTTTTAATTTTTCATACATTGGTGTAAAGTATATTTACCTAGGTTTGTGTTTATTTAATATGGTTTGTTGCAGATTCCTTGTCCTAAGCATTTATTTATTTGTCGTGTACTTATATATTGCGTACTATCTGAATGTCCAGGTGTCTCGCATTTCGTAATGTATATAAAGTCGTTGGTTATTGATGGCTTCAAATCCTATTGTCAGAGAACGGAAATCGATGGATTTGATCCACAGTTCAATGCGATTACCGGTCTAAATGGCTCCGGAAAGTCAAATATATTAGATGCTATATGCTTCTTACTTGGAATAACAAGTCTTTCGCATGTAGGTTGGTTGTCTCTCTTGATAAGTCGATTATAGGTAAGGGCAGCAAACCTACATGATTTGGTTTACAAATGTGGTCAAGCAGGAATACAAAAGGCTACCGTAAGCGCAGTATTTGACAATATGAATAAGTCACAATCCCCATATGGTTATGAGCAGTTTGATGAGCTTACAATCACAAAGCAGATTGTCGTTGGAGGCAGAAATAAATATCTGATTAACGGAACAAACGCAACCACCACAAGAGTTCATGATTTATTTCACTCAGTGCAACTTAATGTTAACAATCCTCACTTTCTAATTATGCAAGGTAGGATTACAAAAATTTTAAATATGAAACCACCGGAGGTAAACCAAATAAGTGTTATAGTGTATTTAAATATATACTTTAGATCCTATCATTATTAGAAGAAGCAGCAAGCACCAAACTATATGAAAATAAAAAGGAAGCAGCACTTAAAACTATTGAAAGGAAAGATAGTAAATTAAGAGAAATAGATAGAGTGAGCTTTTTTTACTTACTACTATGTCGCTTTTTATAGATTCTCACTGAAGATATTAACCCTACTATCAAGAAATTACGTGAAGAACGGAGCAGTTATTTAGAGTATCAGAAAGTTGTACGTGAAATCAATTATCTGGAGAAGTTTATTGTCGCTTATGACTATACTTGTTTAGAGGTTAGTGGACTATCAGTTATCGGCTAATATACACCTGGCTTTTAGGAAGCTAAAAAACGAACAAAAGGAGATTTAATTACACTTGAACGTTCATTGGATGAGCACAAAAAGAATATGGAAGAAGTAATTTCACCGTATTAGTTCTATTTAGTCCGTTTGTCTTTTAGCTTCGGAAGTCAAAAGAAATTATAGAAAGTCGTATTGCTGAACTTTGCAAACAAAGAGATGAGGTAGGCTGTACTGTTTTCTTAAAGCGTTTATCTAAAGCATCAAGGAACAGCACTTGAAGAAATAGAATCTACAATGTCTGCATGTCAAAAAACAGAAGCAGTTGCTAAGGGGGCTTCTCAAAGAGCGTCTGAATTTCTTCGGGCCGCCAAACAGCGTGTTAAGTCCATGGAGTCACAGTATATGGAGCTTGATGAGCAGTTGTCTTCTAAACATAAAGCAGCGGAAGCTGCTGCTGGTATTGAGTACCAGTCCGTTCTAGCACAGTCAGAAGAAGCGCAAGTTAAATTTGAAGCGGCTCAAAAGCGTTTACAGGTAAGCATTTACTTCAGATAGTACGTCATAGTACCCATTGAAATTATTTGAATCAACTGTTTCACATTAGCGAGTCACCACTTGTAATGATTAAGCTATCGTGTCCATAAATATAATAGAATAGTGAATTGGTTATATAAACAGCGACTGTCGATGTAAAATTTAAGCTTAAGTGTCTTCGTTAGCTGAATTTTTGTCATTTTACTGATGGTAATAAGATTTGCTTTATTTGTTGACTACCGTTAGTAATTTGCAGTATCATTTCATTATATTGCAATAAATTCCAATATAATGATCATTTAACTTGATAATGTTCAAACTTTTTTTTGAATCATCATCTGCCGTAAATCTGCTTTGCCCTTTTCGACATCTTTCCCACAACATAGCATATTCGATACATGAATCCAAACGCACTCAGCCTTCATTTATCTAATGGGCTTACGAGAAGAAAATTATAACAACCACTGTAATATTTTCACTTCAATTCAACAGTAATTATCTTTACAATAATTTGTATACATTTTGTAAAAGCACTTCAATGCATTAGATAGTTAATATACATATGTAGCCAGATAAAACTGTTATATCCCCAAGACTTCTTTCCCTTTGTTTTCCTCAGGTAATCGGATTGTTTACAATAAGAGCAGATAGTCGTTGTGTCTGTTTGTACCACATGTGGGATGACCACTCTTAGTTGACCCCGTTTCTGGCCAGTTCTGCCAGTTTTTATACATTTATCAAGTTTTGGGACCTAACTTATGGTTTGTCGTGTACTTAGTCTGTAAATTGGATAGATTAGTTAATTAGTCAACATACATTTTTAAAGACTTATACATTTTTATTTATTACGTGTAAAGGCAGTAAAATCCGGTCTTTCCAGTGGAGAAAATGGTGTTGCAGCTAGCCTTGCTGAACAGGTTAGAGTTGCAGATGGTGAGAAGTGCTCCGCACAAACTGAACTTTCTCAACTGAAAATGCGTCAGAAACATCTACAAAATGAGCTTGCTGAACAAGAAGCCATTGTCGTTAAAACTTTCGGACATGGGTCAATAGACGGAGAATCTAAAGAAGAAATAAAACAAAAGGAACTTACTGTACATATTGACGAATTAACTAGGAAATTGACACGAGCTGAGGCGGATGATAGATCTGTTGGTAGCGAATCTGTGTTAAGTGGTAAGTGATGAAGCATTACTCAATGAAACTAATGTGTATTGAATTCCGTTTTTAAAAGTGATTTACACCAAATTTTGTTGTTTGAATTGTTAGTGTGATAAACTAGTGAAATGGGAGTGCGATTTACCGCGCCAAAAGTTTTGTTTCTCGAAAGGTTGTGTGCATATTATCTAGCTGGCTATGTTATAATTTCATTATTTCAACACACAAACATTGGTACAAAAGGGTCACCGAATACATATGCGCCACACAAGTCACTTGATTTGTACCTGGGTCGGGATACTAGTCCAGGTGCTCGAACCAAAGCAGATGGCTTTTTTAGGGAGCCACACCCGGAACCTTTGACTTAAATGTCTGCTATAACTGTGACGGCAGATTAGAGGACAGCGAATTGTCGATCGGACCAAAGACGCAAACACGTAAGAACGGCCTAGGGTTCTGATTGGTCCCGCTTCCTTGTCTAGCCCAGCCAGTTGAGTCCAGAACGCAAGTCTCAGCCTTGGAGATATGAATCACTATATTTCAAACGTACTCTGTTTATATACCAACCAAGCAGACCACATCGTACCATAAAATAGAAAATAACATTGTACAATATTGACCAGTAGGAAAATGACACATGAAATAAATATTGACCAATAAGAGAATGACACCATCTCAAGTCCAAGGATAGCGTTAGACTTAACAGAATAATTTTTGGGATATTTTCCCGAATATCCCAACAATGTCTAAACCACAATGCAGTGGAGCAACGTTAAGAGATGCAGTCCTATGGTAGTCGATGACTAACAATAGTGTTCACACGCCATTTGTTCCTTCAGGATCCTGAAGCCCATATGCACCGTTAGTTTGGAATCACTGTTTTCCAATTCCCATAGATGGATCTTCCATATCAACCAACCCGGTTAAAGTGCCGGATATTCGCTTTTCGTCCTCTCAATTTCGTAAACAAGACCGCCGTGAGAAGGCAGTGAGTAGGACTTCCCTGACAGTGGTTATATACACGTGTCCATGTGAGAGCATTTGGAGAGGGAGAGCGGACTGTCCCCGCCTTCGGCCGTACTAGGGCATTGTTTGTACTGCTATCTTTAAATTAGATTGTAAGTGATACCCGCAGAAAGTTAGGATAAGTATGATTGTCATGCTTTGTGAACTAACCGCCTTATTTCTCCATAGACATACATCGGCCACATTTATCTTTAATTAAGTATGCAAAGACTCTCCAACTGTACATTTCGCAGTTATTAAAGTGTAGGTGGTAACAGATGAAATCCAGGCATGTCCTGTAAGTTGTGATTTTCTATTAGTTGTCGATAGCTACTTCTAATTACCGTACGAACTTTTGTGACCAAATGCCGATAACTATCAAGTGGGGCAGTGTATTTTATGTCTGGGATTAATCAGAATTATGTCTCCTCAAAACAGATCTGAGATTCCTAAAGTATCAGTTGTTTTATCGATGGATCCAGCCTTCTTGTTTTAGTCATTAGAATAAAGTTGGTAGGTACATCTGTAGGGAGCACAAACTGAACACAACTCTTTAAGCAGCGATTAATCCGAATCTCAGTAACATTTTTGCTAGTAGTTCTTTTGTATTATACAATCGGATAAAAATATTAGTTTGTTGGTATAGAAAAGAGCAGTGCTAATGATAGTATGTTAGTCCGTTATCAACTAATCCATCTTAAATACAGCCTACTGATTTTAAAAACTGTTGAATATTCGAGAGAATTTTCTTGTGACTTTTAAATATGTTTCGAAGTATTTTATTGAAATAAAAAATGAATGTCATTCAAAAACAACATATGTTGGCTTTAGTTTTCATTTCGAGCTGCTTATCATCCAATTAGTTACTCAATTTATTTGCCAGGTAAAGATTAATGTACTTTGCTTTGCGCCACACTCTGGATGTGGCAACTACTGATATTATCTGACTACTCAAACTAAAGTAGGTGGAGTGGGATTCAAATCCACGAATTAGTCGCTGAAAGTCGATCGTCTTAACCACTAGACCACCGCTTATCATGGTAGGATGTTCCCAGTATCTCTACCCAATTGTGTATATTTTTTTATTCACAGAGAAGCAGCTTGGCTTAGTTAAGGAAGCAAGGGAGTTACGTCATCAAGCTTCAAAGTTATCATCTCAATTCCCTCAACTTGTGTTTGATTATACTGATCCAGAGCCAAATTTTGATAGACGTCGTGTTCTTGGACCTGTTGCGAAATTGTTTCGTGTCAAAGATTTAAAATATGCGGTTGCTCTAGAAGTGATAGCTGGAAATAAGGTAATTTGTATTATGTTAATTGATGTTCACCTCTGAATAACTTACACCAGATGTTTTGTATTCATAGTTTTGAGTGGTGAAATTAGAACGTATTATTGGTTTATGTTAATTGTATGCGTATAATAATGCCACTGTTTGTTGGTATTTATTTATAAGTCTTAAGGGAATTAATTTTACCTCTGAACTATGCCTAACGTTAAGCTTATCATTTCTCTCATTACAGTTATATGCAGCACAGTTTTATTTAAAAATAACAATAATAGCTAGTACCGTTTTATACAAATTCCGATAACCACGTGTCAGATCAGTTGCAGTGATTCAGTAGGAATTGGAGCAATCGGATAGAAATCATAATGCTAACAATGGTAAAAAATTAAAAGATGAAGGGGAGATAAAAGAGAATTAAATAATTAATATTAACTGTATAGGTTGTTAAAGATTCTGTCTGGTCAAACAATACTCATATCCCTACTACCGTCACACCTTTGTACAGTCGGAAGTCTGGCTTTTCCTTCGGATCTTGGGTTCGCTACTTCTTGTCGTACCACTCTTCAACTGACTTGCATTGCATGTTAGGACCTTGAGGAACAGTTGTCCCAGCCAGTATACCCCTATTGGTTTATCACGATAGGCAAGCCCGACCACTACATCAAGGTAGCCATAACAGTCGGAAATATTTTCTTACGGTTACTGATAAACGTACACGAACCTTAACTTCGAATCGCGATGAGAGTTTGACAACTACAGCAACAACATAATTTCCCAAATAATCATGAGAGATGCTTATTCAATCATTTTCCAATGTTCTCATCAATTCTGTTGCTGGGAGTTCTATATACGGAAACAAAATTCTGCGACATAAGTCACAAATTTAACAAAATTCACACACATTTTTAATTTGACAACCTTATCAAATAGAATAACATTCCTAACCCAGTATCCCACCGAGAAGTTTATTACTTTCAATCTACCATTGAAAGCTGCAATCAATATTTAAACACTAAGTTAGCATTTAGAAGTCTCCTAACAAAATATCATAAAAAACTCAAACTACTCAGAAACAATCAAGATCTTTCAATAACACGTCCGAACAAAGGTACAAGGGTATTTCCGATGGACCGCACAATCTACGTCAAAAAGATAATAAATGTACTTTCAAATAGCATCAAGCCTTCTAAAGATATCAAAGAACAGAATAAGACTGAAGTGGTCGGAAGACAACTAAATTTCCTAATAGAATGAAAAAGAACTATGTGACTAAAGAATACATTTACAAGCGTATTAAACTAACAGGGTCAACGACATTACGGTTATATCGTTTGTTCAAAGTGTATAAACTTGGATTACGTCTCCTATAAATTCTTAACATGTCTAGATCTCATTATCTCGTCAGAGATTTGGTTAGCAGACCTCATGGAGCTCATAAAAAAGTATTTTTTCTGTATTCCTCACAGATAACCTTTGAATTCATTGGCTACATAAAGGAAGTGAATGTAAATGACAATCATGATTTCCTTTGGTGTCGGACCACTTTTCACTAATGTCCCCGATTACAGAAACTATTTGTTTTATCTACAAATATGTAGATAATAATATGATAAATGTCGGAATCACTTAGCTAAATCAATCTTCCTTGTTATTAGGAAATATAATATAATCTTTTTCTATTTATTTGTTTACTTTTAAGTCACATATTGACACAATATATATGAATAAAACAAGCATAATCTTACTAACCACTGAAGTGTAGATATGTTTCTTACATAAACTAATAGAAAAACCTATATATGGTTATTGACTTCTGCTAGACATTTTTTGTTTTTCTACTATGATTATCGTATTGTAAAATTCATGTCCTTTTAATTACTTTACTTAACATTTTCTGATTTTAGTTACAGAACATTGTTGTAGACACAGAAGTCACTGGTAAAATTTTATTAGAACGTGGTCAAATTCGTCGACGTGTCACTATGCTCCCGTTAACTCAAATACGTGGAAATCCCATATCAGATGGTGTTATTAAAAATGCCCAGTCATTAGTTGGTGCATCAAATGTTGTCACTGCTCTTTCATTAATTGAATATGATAATATGCTTAAACCAGTTATGGAATATGTATTCGGTAGTGTATTAATATGTCCAGATATGGAAATAGCTAGGCGTATTGCATTTCACCCTGGTATTGAAAAGAAAACAATAACATTAGAAGGTGATGTATTTGATCCTCAGGTAATCATCTTTATTTTTGTTTTAGAAAAAAGTGATTTTAATCATTGCTTCTTTACTTGTGAACTTGTTCATAGTGTGAAGGGGTGGGATAATGGTTAAGGTGTTTGACTCTTGGCCAAGAAGTTGTCTATTCGAACTCCACTCTACCTACTTCCGTTTGAGTGGACAAATAGCATCATTAGCTTCCCTGCTTAATGTATATCTTTAAATCAAATGCATTAATCTGTACGTAAAAAATTAGTATTATGCAGAAGATAGTAATAATAACAAATTTTTCGTTCTTAACACGTTTGATAGTTTTTGGTATGTAGATTTGAAACTGTTGACTTGACCGTCAAATCTGTTGTGTTAGACGTGTTTCCGTCTGTTAAATTGTTGTCAATGAATTAACTGTTTTCCAAGATACAGAGGTTTTATTTCATGTTATTTTACAATCGACATCGGAAACTGACCTTACTTAGGCAATCAGTGAAAACTAGGAAGCTATGAAGAACTATTCTATTCTAATGTAGAACATTTCAGCAGCTTGCATCCACGAATTCACCGGGGATTGAAACCTGAACTTTCAGGTTTTGCGATAAGTACTTAAGCTGTAGACTACTGAGCCGGCACTCAATGGTCTACTCCTCTACTTTCATTCAGTTGGCGATATTATTCAACCAGCTTTCCATGTTGTGGGTGGATAACTGCCTTACAACCGATATGGTTGGTAAGTAAGTGTGATAGGCTGTAGGTGACATATTGTAGCGTTTCGTAGAAACGAAAATTGGTTATTTTCAGTCAGTCAGTCAGTAACAACGTAGAACTTCGTACGTACGTACATCAGTTCGAGTTGCCACACCACCTTAACACAGAGATGCAGTTGTCGATCCAAATCCCATAGTGGTAGAGGTAGCAAGAGTGTAAGCAGTGATCGAGAAGATTAGGGTTTGGAGATGTTTTTTAAAGAGTATAATTCAGTGAAATAAATTTGGAAAGAGGAAAAAAGGGACATGAAGAATTCAGAAGATTATAATTTGGGAGAACACAAAGAGTGGATGCACCTGCGCTATTGCAAACGATTTTGAGCCATGTCATTCAGGGTCTCTAACCATCGGTTGCTATCATCTCGCGGTCCCCAACCAGGTAGTCTACACCTACCAACATGACTCAGACCACTTGTCAGTGACTTCATGGATTTGTGCCATGTTTTGGTCTGGCCGCCCCTAGCTTTCTTCCAACCTACTCCTACATCGCACGTCGAGGCAGTCGGTCGTTGGGCATACGTAACACGTGTCCCAGCCATCTCAACTGATGAAGTTTCACTACTTCATCAATTGATTTGCCATCCTTATCTAGTACCCGTTTCCTAACAACTGCATTACTTACTCGATGGTCCCATGATATACGAGCAATGTTTCGAAGACACCTATGATCGAATACTAGTAACCTACGAATATCCTCTACTCTTACCGGCCATGTTTCACTGTCATAAAGTAGGACGGAACGAATTGCTGCGCAGTAAACACGTCCTTTGGTTGATAGACGGATATCTCGCCTACGCCATAAATGACGCTAGTCGAGCCTTCTGTATCCGTGCTGAGATTTCGTCACACACCAGACCACAAGGGCTGATGAGACTTCCGAGATAAGTGAAGCGGTCGACACACTCAACTACTTCACTCCCTATCACTAGTTCGGGTGTCGATGTAACCCAATCCTGAAGCAACATTTTGCATTTCGAGGGAGAGAATCGCATCCCGAACATGCTTGCATTGTTGCTTAGAGTGGTCAGAAGACTCTGCATTTTGTCAGCGTCTTCACCAAATAAAACTATGTCATCAGCATATTCTAAGTCAACAAGTGAACCTCCCGGTAGAAATTCAACCCCTGGAAATTTAGATGAGGAGAGTGTTATCTCTAAAAGTACGTCGACCACAAAGTTGAACAAGAAAGGAGAGAGTGGACAGCCCTGACGAACACCACTTGATGTAATCTATTCTGATGACAGTTCGCCATAAGCTCTCACTCTACCAGTTGTGTTCGAGTAGAGAGCCTGAATAAGGTTAATGTACTTCTTTGGTACTCCTTTCAGTGACAAACACTGCCATAGAACCTTACGATCAACAGAGTCGAATGCCGCCTTAAGGTCGAGAACTACTACCATTGTGGGGCGTCTAAACGTGTGTCTGTGTTCTAGAACCTGACGTAGTGTGAATATCTGATCTATACAACCACGTCCAGGTCGAAAACCGGCCTGATTTTCTCTAGTCTGTTCTTCACGAGCTTTGGTTAGGCGTCGAAGTATTATTGAGGCTAATATTTTAGACACTATATTAGTCAAACTGATTCCTCTGTGATTGTCACAAGAGGACTTTTGTCCTTTCTTATAGACTGGCACAATCAGTGATTGAGACCAGTCAGATGGGATTACGTCCAGTTCCCAAATTCTACCTAAGACCTCGGTTAATCTCATTGCTAATACTGGACCACCATCCTTAAAAATCTCAGGAGTAAACCTGTCAGGGCCTGCTGCTCTCCCTCGTTTCAGATTTCCTATGGCTTTTTCAACTTCGTAAAGGGACGGAGGACCTACATTAACTTGCCATTCAGGTTGACTGGGGATCGTGGGAAACCGAAGTGTGGCTGAAGGCCAGTTGAACTGATCCCTGAAGTGTTCTGCCCATCGATTCACTTTTCGGTATACCGATTTTATGTGTTATCATGTTGCATATTATTTTATTATTGTATATATGTTTAAGGGGATGATGTAGTTTTTCACTGAAGTTTATTCATCATTATCAGCTTTTTACAATACTGTACGATAAATTCAGTATACTCGTTTGAAGAATTTAAGTACTGCATATTCGTCAGCTGAATTATTTAAAGATACTTTTTACTAATGCTCTTTTCTGTCATATTTTAGGGCACACTGTCCGGTGGAAGTCGGGGAACTGCTTCGGATAGTTTATTATCTCGCATATTTAAGTGGCGTGATCTTGAGGTTGCCGCTCAAAAAGCTGAAGAAAATGTTACTCAAGGTGAAGCAAATGTCAGAGCAGCTCAATTACGATCCCAAAATATTAGTCATATTCGAGAAGCGTTAGATAATGCTCGCCATCAATTAGAACTTTTAGAGACTCAAATAAGGCAGACAGATAAACATCGATTACGTGCAGACTTGGCAGCTACTAGAAATGAATTAAGTGAGTTTTCATAGTTTCAGTGGTAATCTAAATACTACTGACATCTGATACATGTTTTCTTCAAGGAAATTTTTATTTCGTTCATAAATTAGTATATGAGATATAAGAGCATGTTGGTTGTTCCATTATGTAATACCACACCTGTTTTTGTTCAGTTTTTGATATTTTATACTGTGCACTGTGATACAAGTATGATCTATCTGGTTCTCCGTAGTGTGTTCCGGTGAGATCCACGTAGCTTTGTGTATGCGTTTGTGTGGGAATATTGTGCCACCTATAACCAATTTGTTGAATGCACATAGGTTTGCAAATCTCTCACCATTCTCGTTCCTTTCTCCTAGTTCATGTCATCCCACGATATCTTCATATCCCGTGTTGTCCATTCCGACTGTGGCGTTTAGGTCTCCCATCACGATTGTGAGATCCTTTCTTGGGCACTCCTCTATGATTGATTGCAACCTTACATAGAACTTATCCTTATTGTCGTTGTTGCTATCATTAGTGGGTGCATCATACTGGATGACATTCATCGTGATTCCCTCCTTCTTTGTTTTGAAAGATACCATCACTGGAATCATGTTCGTTTATATGAATTTTCTCTATTCCATTGTTGAAATTCATTAGGTAGCGTTTATTTCTAGGAGAATTAATTTAATAGATGTGCACTTTTTGACTTAGATAAATCTATTCGTTTTGTGTAGAACAAGTCGAAGATTCTTTACAAAACGCTGAACAGCGTCTTAATCAAGCATCTTTAAAAGCTAAGTTAGCTCATGACAAAGCAGCAAACGCCGTAGCTGAATTTAAAAAAGAAGAACAGGAAGCTGAAAAGGCACTTTCAGAAGCTAAGGTTCAACTGGAATTCACGGTTAGTGCTTTAAGGGAGAAGAATTCTCTAAAGGAAACTTTACGCTTAGAAGCTGAAGAACTGTCAAAAGAACTAAATACTTTGAAGGTAACTTTTTTTCTCGGTTAAATAATCACATGCATCAGATTTTCTTAACTTATATAAGCAACGTTATGATATATCTTGTAGACATTCAACCACTATATCGTAGATTAGTGTCCTACCCCATCTATTTCAATTTGGTGACCTGAGTATTTCCATAGCCATCACGCAGGGTTTGATTCAAAGCCAAGTGCACAAATCTATGTGGGAATTCGCATCACGTTAATAAACATGATACTAGTCATTGTTATATTTGAGCGAAGATTAAGTCACAAGTAACTTCTCAGATATATTAATTGACTAACATTATCTATACATTCTTATCGTATAACTATTCAATAATTAGATTACGTATATTTATATTCCTCTTATTATAAGCTTTATTTTGACGTATAATTTATTGACTACTGCTTCCCACGTTCACAATCACTTTTCGGCTTTATTGTGTACAAATGTTATTTCCTATTTTATGGTGCGTTGCGGTCTGTTTTTTTAAATATATAAACCCAGTATGCCTGAAATAAATGATTCAATTCGATTCGCATAGTGGAAGGTGGTATTGGTGTTCTGGACTCAAGTGGACGGGCTAGGCTGAAATAGGACCAACTAGGACGGGTAGGTTGCTCATACCGATCGAACGTCATTGGCTTGGAACAGTGCTAAGATTGTATAAGTCGTATTTTGATTGGTGGATAAATCACGTGATAAAAAGCCGGACATAAATTCATAACAGTCATTAAAAGTAAAGATGGATGGTGGCTAGCAGCGGAATTCAAGACGCGCGTCCCGTCGTATTTAGGACTCGTCAGCTGGATGTACCTGCACCCTACAGTTGATGTCTAATTCGGGACTTAAACCCATTACCGTTCGCTTCAAACGCTATCGCGTTACCCACTTAGCTACTAAGTTCAGATAGCCACTAGCTTGTGCAATGTGATGACGTTTAATTCATTTTCGTATTGATGGTTAGCGCGATGGAGTTTGAAGCGAACAATACTGGGTTTTATTCCCGAAGTAGACATCAACCTTAGGGTGTAGGTACATCCAGCTGACGCGTCTTGAATTCCACTGATAGCCACCATCCATCTTTGTTTATAATGCTTGTGAATTAAGGCAATATCGAGGCAATTCATACAGGATACACTTATGCCAATAAGAGACTAAGCAATTGCAATCCTAAACATCAATGAAAAGATTCAAATAAACAATACAAAATGAACTAATCATTATATTTGGCTTCGTAAACCGAGACGTTCTGTGACAGTGTCTGTCATTGAAAGGCGTACCTCAGAGGTGCATAAACCATGTGAGGGCTCTTAACTCGAACACTACCAGTCAACTCAGAGCTCATGGCCTATTCTCATCTGGGTTTACAACCTCAGGTGCTGTCTGGCAAGGATGTACATCATTTCCAATTTTGTTTAGTTTCATCATAGACCTACTACTGGAAATAACGTTCTCATCATCTGAATTTTCGGGCATTGATTTCCTACCAGAAGGTTCACTTATTGACTTAGAATACTCAGTTGACAGTCCTGTTTGGTGGAGACACTGATAAAATGCAGTCTATTGGTAGCACTGAGCAACAATGCCAGGATGTTTGGGATGCGTTTCTCCCCCTCTAAATGCAAATTATTACTTTAGGACTGGCCTGCGTCAACACCTGAACTGGAGTGAAGTGGTCGAACGCGTCGACAACACTTATCTAGGAAATCTGATTAGCCCTAATAGGTTGGTGTCTGACGAAATCTCTATACGGATTCAGAAAGCTCGTTTGGCTTTTGTCAACTTACGTCACCTATGGCGAAGGCGAGATATCCGTCTATCAATTAACAGTCGAGTATACTATGCGGCAGTTCGTTCTATTTTACTCTACGGTTGCGAAACGTGGCCACTAAGAGTAGAGGATACTTTTAAGTTACTATTATTTGATCACATATCTTACAAATATTGCTGTCATCTGCTGGGATCACCGTATAAGCGATAATGAGGTTAGACACAAGTTATTAGGGAATGATGGTAAATCAGCTGGTGAGGTTATGAATCTTCATCGACTGAGATGGTTGCGTCACGCATTACACATGTCCAACCACCGACTAGCACGGCATGCAATGGTTACTAGTATTGGAGACGTATGGAAAAACGTTTTGGGCGACCAAACTAAAACGTGGCATCAGTCCATAAAGTCACCAACTTCTAGTCTGAGCCATACTGATAGATTCAAACTACTTGGTTGGTGTCCGCACGACTATCGTACCCAGTGGTTGGAGACTCTAGGCGACTCTAGGCTCAGAATCGATCACAATGGTGTAGGTGTATACACTTTGTCTTCCCTTAAACCGTGAGATTAAATTTACTGTATACCTTTCTTTCTACAAACCAATTCCTTCTCCATGTATCAAGTCCTTATATGAAATCTATGAATTCGGTGTTCATTTTGTTGTGCTAATAAGGTTTGGCAGCTTAGACCATTGCATATATGTGCCTGGTTCCACTCTGTAACTGACTGACTGACATAATACTAATAGTATCTCTGTGTGTCGTACTTAATACAAAGACGTTTTGTATTTTTGAATATCTCTTACACCTTTTTGGATTTCGTTATGTTAAAAAATATTTCTACTACAGATCTTCAATTCATTTGGTGTTTTACTTGTACCTTGCCATTGTTATTTGAGACTGCAATTCATCAGTCTCATGTTGGCATATGTGCATCCTGTGCGGATTGCCTCGATATAGCCTTAAGTCACAAGCTTTTTAAGCAAAGATGGGTAGTGGTTAGCAGTGGAATCCAGGACACACGTTTCGTCCCGTTTGGCACTCGTCAGCTCGATGTACCTGCATCTCAGAGTTGGTGTTCAATCCGGGACTCTAACCCATTACCATTCGCTTCAAACGCCATCGCGTTATCCAATTAACCACTGAGTTCTGATAGCCACATGCTTGTGCAATTAGGTGAAGTTTAAATTCACTAGGTGTTGTTTTGCTTGGATCTTCCCAAATGGGATGAAACGCGCGTCCTGGATTTCACTGCTAGCCACCATTCATCTTTGCTTAAAACGATCTTCAATATACAAAATTTGTATCAGCGGAGTAAATCCTAAATGTTACGATATATTCCTTCTGTCTCGACTGTCACATCTTTAGCGTCGACTGTGATTTTGAAGAAAATCATGCCAAATTATGGCTGAAATCATGTAATCAAGATTGTGGTATTTAATATAATGTATAATTACTTCATTGTAAATTACCTACCATAACATATTATGTTATTGTTTTGTAATTGTTCTACTCTTTATTAAAGTAAACAGTTTATGTTAACACTATCTTTATAGTATGTTTTTGTTTTAGTATCTCGATAAGATGAAAAACTATGTATCCATCTATGTTTGGTAACAATTCAAGTGTGGTAGACTTTCTTAACTAATTCTTTCTTTTATATATTACCACCTCTGAATTAACTAATTTTATGAATCCGGTGTCCATCTTGTTGTGTTAATGAGGTATGTCAACGTGGACCGATGCATACATGTGCCTGGTCCTACGTTGTAGCTGATTGAGTTGTGCTGTTCAGTCATTTATTGACCTGACTTTCAAACTCTTAAGTCCAATGTCTGAAGCGTTGTTATAGTTATCAAGGTTTCGAAAGTAAATTCAACGGTTGAAATGCAGTTGTAATACCATTCACTATTATGAACTAGTAGTAGTATGGGTTATTTCTATGGTATCATTGAGATCGTGTTATTTAGGTTTACTTTCAAGTAAGGTTTGATAATGTTATCTATTCTAACTTAGATATAATTCTTCAGGTAATTGCCCTGGTACGGCCGAGAGTGGGGAGAGTCCGCTCTCCCTCTCGAAATGCTCTCACACGGCCACGCGTATATAGCCTCTGCCAGGGAAGTCCTACTCACCGCCTTCTCGTGGCGGGGGTGTTGTTTACGAAAATGAGAGGACGAAAAGCGAATGTCCGGCGCTTTAACCGGATTCCAAACCAATGGTGCACATGGGCTCCAGTATCCTGCGGGAACAAATGGCGAATGAACCAATTGTTGGTTACCGGCTCCCATGGGACTGCATCTCCTTACGATGCTCCACTGCCTTGTGGATCAGACCTTCAGGTCGGAGGCTCGGGGTGTGGCAACTAAAAGAGAACCACCTGCTTCGGTTTGGGCACCCGGGCAGTATCACAGCCCTCACACACATATCGAATGAGATTTGTGTGGCGCATATGTATTTGGTGCCTCTTTGTACCATTATCTATGTGTTGAAATAAATAAATAAATATAAGTTACAACCTTGTTACCCAGTGAAGTAGACGGGGTGGGGCTCGAACCCGGGACTTAATCGCTTAAGGTCGAACACTCTAACCATGAAGCCATTACAACGCAGTGGTTAAGACGTAATTTTAAGCTGTGATTAGGTAGGTAAACTACTCAGTCTTCAACTAATAGGTTATATATTTGAAATATTATCCGCTTATTTTAGCGAATACAATCAGGTAGTATCATCACTGACCCTCAAACAAACAATGTGGCCTGGAGTTGAGTGCATTATGCTATAATATATTTAATAAATAATTGTAAGAAACATACCATTCATAACGTGTTCACAAGTTTACAACACTAATATATTGGCATACCACTTATGTCTATATCAATCGAGTGGTTTTGACCAAACCACTTGTTTATATGTGTTTAAACTTTAAGATGTTTAACATTACATTGAGATAGATTTAAAGAGAGATTGTATAGTTTTATACGAAACATTTATGATTTACCAAAATTTATTGCCATTTTTACCAGCTGTAAAATATCAGATTTCACCATAATGACCTTTGAAAGTAAGGAAACAACTCATAATATTGAATTGCTTGAAGCTGATAACCGATTTTAACATAAAGCATGTTTTTAATATACTTTAAATACTTATTTCTTTTGTGTATACTTTTTATTAAGCTGTCTCTTGAAGAAGCAATTCAAGCTGTAGAAGATGCACAGGCAGAAGAAGAACGTTGTATTGATGCATCACGATTAGCTAAAGAAGCTTTAATTAAAGCACGTGAAGCTGTTAATAAACAACGAGGATTAATTGATGAAACTGTTCGTGCATTGACATCTGCAGAGAAAGAAGCTGGTCAATTAGTTCAATCGTTAAATCAAACAAACAGTCAAGTGGATAAGCTTTCTCATCAAATTGAAATGCAAACTAAGGAAAGTGAAGAAGCCGATATCAAGGTAATTAATTTTCATATTGTATTTTAATTCTTTTGTGATACGCAATACAGGTATCTTTTCGTTTTTTTTAATGAGTTCTTACAATTTTTTATAAATGCTTGCTGTACTTGCTTGAATATATTTAATTTCTCTTTAATTATTTATTTCATAGTTAACCTCACAAATCAGTGTCATTTAAATAGCCATTGAAAGTCAGGAAGGGTTTGGTATGTGTTTCATCCCATCATGAGACTCGTCAGGCAGTGCGTATCTACCACTCCACTACCGTGCATTGGGCCCAAGACCTTAGATTTTGCTCGCAAACTCCGAACAACTAAGTTGTCACTTGGTGGTTTGCATGTTTTACTCCCATCCATTCGTAATATCATGCAACTATCATCCCACGTTTTTGTCAGATAGCTGCCTTACTATTAACATGCCCGAATCCTATTGGTTACAACTTCTCACTAAAACCAAGGAACTAATAAATATATAGGAGAATTTTTGATTTTCCAGTCGACGTTACTAATTGCTCTTAGTTAGGGTATCATTAAATACCAATGGAGCTCATTTATTTAGTTTTCGGAATGTTTTTAAAGTCAATGTATTTTTTCTTAGGCGATAGTAGTTGTATTCATTGTTTGTTTTAGTGAAACATGTTAAGAACTTATTTTTTTTATATATGCATCATGTAAAGGGTTAGATATTCCTATTATTAATGTTTAAGACGGAATTTGTTTAGCTTCTGTCAGTATATGTCCATTCTAAGCGAACTGCTTCAATACTACATCAGTTTACAAGTGGTATTTGTGACCAGTTTGAAGATCAACACTAGGATGCATGTGTAAATTCTGTTACGGAGTCCGAAATAGAATGAAATGCGTATCTTCGAATCATCCGCTAAACGCAATCCATTTTTACCATAAACTGTACGTTTTTTTTCTTCTATCATATTCGTTATATGCTTTAGTGATCATGATGGAAGTTTGTATACATCTTTTTATTTTACGGAATAACTAACATTCTGTCATAAATTTATTGTCATTTAATCATTTATTGTATGATTATGCTTTTAAA